TATATTATATATATACATATATATATATATAAATATATATATATATATATATATGTGTGTGTGAGAGAGAGAGTGTGTGAGTGTGTGAGTGTGTGTATGTGTGTGTGTGTGTGTGTGTGTGTTGTGTGTGTGTCGTTTTTGTGTGTGTGTGTATGTTTGTGTGTGTGTTTTGTGTGTGTGTGTGTATGTGTGTGTGTGTGTGTGTGCGTGTGCGTATGTGTGTGTATACGTGTGTGTGTGTGTGTGTGTGTGTGTGTGTGTGTGTGTGTGTGTTGTGTGTGTGTGTGTGTGTGTGTGTGTGTGTGTGTATGGTGTATATATATATATATTTATATATATATTTATATATATATATATATATAGATGGTGAAGATACACAATATATGTAGAAATGCTATGTTATGTTGTCCAGTCTTCATGTATATATTATATTTGCCTGTCTTAAAACTACCGATCCAAGTAATGAAATATGGTGTGCTTTTGCTATAGCCACATCCGATCCCATTGCATGTACACAATGGGTTCGTATTTCTAGGCCGTGTTCTGTGAGCAGAAGTATGTATCACATCAGAACATACCAGGAAATGATATATTTTTACATACCCAGTCATGGGTATGAGATTTTGGCTAGGTGGGTTGAAAACGATGTCAACGTTCCCAAGCGAGGCGGAATTTCGTCTCCCTTTATCACCTGACGATGATAGAGCCATTTTGTTGAACTAAACGTCTTACGACTGTGATTACAAGTGATATTCAACCTCGCATTCATTGAAGTTGTCAATATTACGTACTGTCAGGCGACGTTTTAGTCATTCTGTGTTTGATGCAGAAATTATGATACGTGACTTCCACAAGAAAGGTCAATTCTGGTCGAAATTGCGTAGCTGCACAAGCCGATACTGTAAGCTGCAGAATGCATATAATAAGCAAGGCAATAGATACACACCGCACCGCTGCAACCGAGATTTACCTTTTTATTTACTACACGTACATAAATATATTGAGATATATTATTTATGTATGTATGTGTGTATGTAAATACATTTATACATATTACTTTTTTTTCTTTTTTTTTCCAAAAGAAACAAAATTTATAATATATACAGTAAATAAAAAAATATGTATTTACATATTGACAGTAGAATAAATCATAATAAGACGGATGGCGGTGCCAATACTGAATCATACACTATTTACTACATATTGACATATTTACATATACAATACATATTGACACAAATATTGGCATACACTATATCGAGCACTATATCGAGTATATGTATGTACTGCTATAGTCTATACCCTAAACAGTATGTACATATAATAATTTTTATAAATAAATTTAATTATTTAGATATGTTACTATTTTTAACAGACTACTATTTAATTTACAATGGCCGAAAGCCTCACCTTACCTGTGATCCAATAGAAACCATCTAATCTGTACTCCAAATTCCGTAGATCCTCTAGGACAGTGACAGTAAATCAAGCCCTCTGGATACAGTGGATATGGTCCTAAGCTCAATTCGTTAATGATATACAGAATAAAAGTTCAACAAAAAGTTTTCACAGGTAAAAATAGAAAACGAAATTCTCAAATGTGCACTCAACATGTAAACCTAAATTCAACCGAAATGGACTACATGGCAAATAGTGACCAATGAATATATATTATACGGAACAGTGATTCCGACTGACAGGCGGGCCCGCCGAGTTTAAGACAAATTGATGGCCTGGAAATTGCACCGCTTCAAATTTCATAGGGCTATATACAGAATAAAAGTTTAACGGAAACGTTTACTGATTCATTTTGAAAAAGTTAAAACGGGAAACTGAATGAGGTTAGATAGGGTCTCGAGCGGAAATCAAGGTTTCTCTCTACAACAAATCGAAAATTTAGCAGAGACCCAAATCCAGAGGGCCGCGAGTAAATATTAATAATAAAAATACAGTTTTATGTACACTGTGAGTCTGTGACATGGTCAGAGTACCGACGGCGATTAACGAAGTGCTAACGTATTTAACGTTTATTATCTATTTATAATACACACCTGCCTGTGTCCTGATTTCTGAAAATTGAACATGAAACAATGAACAACATAAATACATACATATTTCCATAAAAGCTATTTTTCACACACGTGTATATATATATACATATATACACAATAGCACTGATATCACCGCACGTACATATTATTGTTGAAAAAACAAAGTTCTATTTTCATTTGAATAGCATTGACATCTTCTCGCGTGCATACGTCTCCTTTCAGTTGCAACAATAATTATGTCTTTCTCCGTAGCGCTCGGTGCTTTGAGGCGACTCGCCAGCACCACTTTGCACACCCGAACCCTAGTACTGACACCCAAATATATAGCGCAGTCAAAGTATTCAGTATATAACTTATTTAAGCCCGGGCCTGAGTTGCCGATGTTTGCGAGGTATGTGCCTATATAAGCTCTAAGAAAATCGGTGACACACGCAATTCCGTTTGCTGGGCCGGGCTGCAGAAAATAATCTCACAATGCGTTGCTGTTCTCATGTATGTGTGTGTAAACCTAATATATATATATATATATATATATATATATATATGCATACATATATATATATATGCTACCATACATGTATGTATGTATG